TGTATTTTTCTTGTGTGTAGCTTTAATTTTAATTGTGTCTCTCTGCTATTCTTCACTCTCTGTGTGTATCTCTTGACTTGTATGTCTCTCCTTCCACCTTCCCCTTCTGTGCCTTTTAACTCCCCCGACACTTGTATGGCTCTTCCAACTCCTTGTTATGTCTTAGGTCTCATAACTTCTTCTTACCTCTTGTTTGTCTCTTTATTTTCACTCAACTTGTTTTGTGATTAATAATCAACCCCCTACATTTTCAGGGGTTAAACTCAAAAGAAAGTTTGGATATTAATGAGTAATATATTAATGGGTAAACCAAAGAATGGAGTGTTGAATGTAAGATTGAAATGGCTTATTTATTAACATTTGTCTGTTAAATTAAAAAAAGCTTCTTCACCAACGTTTGCTTTTCTATTGACATTATAACAAGATGATTGCTATAGATGTGCCCAGTGTATTCTACAAATGCAGGGTAATCTTACAACCAAAGCTGATCACCAGTTACATACATATATCAAATTCAACCTTTAAAACCCATTCCTTTATGTTGTTGTTGCAAATTTATTAACGGTGAAGTATTTCTGTAATAAATGGGGTTTCGCTTTGCAATCATAGTCTAATGACCAGCAAAACTCTAGATGTTAAGCAGGCATTAGGAGCCATTCATGATCAAAGTTGCAATTCTCCAGCAGCTTGGGATTAGACTTGCAGTCAAATATCGATCCCCAGGTGGGGCAGAACTGTTACACTCTTGAGGCTTAGCCCTTCCTGGTGGCTAAGCATCTGGGGAGTTGCAATTCTGCAAGTTATGGGAGTTAGCTTTAAAGCCAAAAACTGATCCCCAAGTATTGAAGAATTCTAACTCTCTTTGCATTTAGCCACTCTTGATTGTCTGCAAAACAGGGTTTTTTTTATATTTTTTATATATGAAAGGTGATGACTACATTATTTACCACATTATCAGCAGGGCTTCACATTTCATGTGTTGCCTTGTAAGAAATTGATATTCCAAACTGCAATATTGTATATAACTTTCTGTGTATGTAACTGGTTTCACAAGTTGGGGTCATTTACTTGATAACAGTGTGATAAGGATCAAAGCTTTCAGTTGCATTTTACAACACCCAGCTAAAACAAAAGCTTACATCCCTCCAGTATTCCTTGCATGTTATCAGGAGATCAGAGTAATAGACATCTAGGTGAAACCATGGAAGTGTGTGTTTTCCCAAGCAGTCTAACCCACCCAGAAACCAACCCTAACTGGTCACTTCTTTCAGAACGTTACAGTATAGCTGGAGGGAAGAGATCAAAGGGAAAGACTTGTGTAAAGACAGAACTCTCTGGAGAAAGAGGGCGGGATAAACCACTTTTGGGAGGGAAAAGGGATTCTGGGACTTGTAGTTTATTACTCCAAGAATCAGTCTTTAAAAGGACAACAACCAAGGAAGGCTCTCTCTCTTTCTCTCTCTCTTTGGAGAGGACAACGCAGCAAGCAGGGCCATGGTGAACTAAGAGAGGCTGTCCCAGATTACCCAAGATGAAGGCGCAAGGGGAAGACCTGCATTTAAATGTTTAAGTATTGCCTTTTTATTATGTAGCTTTTGATTATGTACCGGATATAATGTATAATGTATATTGTGTATATCCTTTTAAAATCTAACAGTATCCTTAAATGAATATTTACAATACATTTTATTATACACTTGTGTTTATGTCTTATTTGTCACACATTCCCTAAAAGAATATCCTTGTAAGAGGGTCATAATTTCTTACAGCCTAACAGATTAAAAACACTTTTTTGCAGATTTAAAAAAAAAAAAATACACACTTCATAGAGCACATGATAAATGATGCCCTGTAAAAGAATTAGGATTGCAAGGTAATGTGGGGCAGCACTTTGTGTGTGCCACCCCACAGTGTGTAGTTTGCAAAATAGTATTAAATGGGATAGAAGATGAAAAGTGTTGAGCTATATTACTTTGCAACTCACATTATTGGAAGAGCAACACTTTTCATGTGTTGATCCAGATTGTGTAAAATATCATTTTTTATCTTTAAAATACCTGTTTTACATTGTTAGACAGCACATGAAAAGTGCTGGCCAATAATACTTTGAAAATGATCTGGCTACGAATAGAGTGAGTAGTATAGGCAGTAGTGGTGATTCATTATAGACTCTGAAGGGGGGCACAATATCCCACGCCCACTTCACTGACTATCCTGCTAGGAGTAAATGAAATAGTTGGAAAAGGGGTGAGATTTCATTGATCTAATGCCCTGCCCCACTGCCACTTTACTCAGCATGTTCATGAAGGGAAGGTGGAGTGGTTTTGGAGTACAGGGCTAGATGATGTTTAAATGGCTAGTAGACCTGCGTGCCCTTTAAGAATGGCAACTTGAGGCACCTCTGTTCCACTGTCAACCAAAACTGTAACTTTTTAAGAACATTCTGCATGTGCATAATGTTCAAAGTTGTCCAGCAAATATCTTAACAATGTAAAAAATATATATAGTTTCCTGTACCTAATGAAAGTGCACTACCTCCGAGTAGGATATTCCCACAGCCAAATTTCAAACAATTCTATGCAGCTGTTTAGTTGAACTAGCTAAAACTTTCAATGTTAATTCAACATAATTTTTTGTAAATATATATTTTTTCATACTAAAATATCTAAAAAAAACACTCAAATGACTTGAAATGTCAAGTTTATAATAGTAAACATAGATGAATATTTGCTATTAATCTGCTACTATTTATATATAATATGTGTAGAGATAGAGAGAGCGAGAGATTGATAGATAGATAGATAGATAGATAGATAGATAATTACAACATTATTAACTCTCAGCTACAGATCTCAGCTCTTACTGTCTTCCCCGGAAGGTTTAGGCCCATCTTATTGCCAGCTGCATGCCAAAAATGGAAAAATAAATCAACCTTTTAACCTATACATCTTTCAGCCTTATGGTTGAGCACTTTATTCCCCAGATACATGAGAAATCGAGTCAAATGTATGCCTATAAACAATGCTTAGTCATTAAATAATACCTGCATTACAATCACATGTAAAATATTAGGAACATTTTTTTTTTATCATAGTATAGAATAGAATAATGAAGCCAAATCTTAGTAAACATGCTTTACAAATAAGTCATGAATTTGTGGTTCCTGATAAAAATCTAAAATATGATATCTTAAAGCAAATTAAAAAGATTCAGAGAATTATGTTCCTTTTAACTCAAAAGAAATTGAATCTATACTTTAATACTGTCAGCCATTTTCTTGTTATATGAAGTGGTTTTATACTAAATGTTTCTCATTTTCTGTTTTCAGCTACAGCCCTGCAACAGCTACCATACCTAACCTTTACAAAGTATATACTTATAAAGCACTTTCATTCGTTGTTTTTTTTTTTTTGTTGTTGTTTTGTTGTTGTATCATTTTATTTATTAGTACATTATACATACAGTAAGCATCTCATTGTAAGACCATGCAAACATTTGATTAGGAATATGAACATCTGAGCTCATATAACTGTATCCAATCAACTACACTATACTACATGTCTTGTGTTAACCCCAACACCTTCACCCCACTCAAAATCTCGCTGGTCTATTCACACAGACCATAATAACATGGGGAACTTTTGGATTACAACTGAAAAGGCATCCTGTACATTTTGCCTATGTTGAACATGATCTCCAAATATCACACAGAAAGCAAACAGAGCCCTTAAAACCTAAATAAAATGAAATTATTTAAAAAAAAACATAGTGTATATTTAAAATTTAAATTCTTAATGCAAAATCCCAAACTTTATTTTTTTATTTGCCACAGATCTTAAAAAATACCTACAGGTTTTCTTGCCTTGTACTTCATTTAATCAACTGTATATTTACCAACAATGAATGGAAGCATATGTGGTGCTCCCTTAATTAGCCATTCCCCTTCCTTATATAAGGTTGCAGCATCAACTCACATAAAATTTTTTTCCAGAAGAATATATTTGCATATAATACAATCAGTCTGTCTATCTAAGTGTTTGTATATCTGCAGATTCCAATCCATTTGAGCTTCATCTTGAAGAACAATTAAATAATTCAGTTTATTAGCCCATTTTGCTTGCATTGAGTTTGGAGTAGACAAGGAGTTAACAGCTGAAGTTTGCCCACTATTGGGGCACTAATGGCAGGCAATTACTTGCATAACTCCACACAAATGTCTTCCGTTTTACCGCTGAAAAAGAGCATTCCTACTATTCTTCAGACTATGGACTACTCCAAATGCATCATGTAAACGAGGTATCAGCATGTTGTGCATTTCTTGTGATATTGCCCTGTGCAATATGTATCCCCACATTTAGCTTTGGTTAGAATTCCTAATGAAGCAAGTCTGCCAGTTTTGGATCTCTGATCTGCAAGGCATTTGTGTGTTTATACTGTATCACTAGACAATGAAGTACTCCATTCAGACTCTTGCACATACACAAACACACACACACACAATCACAACACACTACAAGCTTTTTAAATGACCATATTGTAACAAAAATACTTTAACTCATGCACACATAAATACAACATTTCCAAACTACACAAATGGGCTTATTTCATCTAAACAAGCAACTGATCCCCTATTCTATTACTGTAATATCTTGCCATCCCTGCTACATTGAGTCAGTGCTGCTCTGCAGTCCTATATCCTTATCTTGACCATTAAGGTACAAGGAGAGTGTTCAATTATGTTTTGCAATAATATTTTGAAAAACAAAATCTCCTGATATTGAAATGGCAATACAAATAAGTGTTGTTTATATTAACCTTCCCTTAAGTTGACTTTTCCTAACTGGCGTCAATACATGTATTGTTACTCTTATTCCTAATCCCACTATTAATATATATTTTTTATTTTAGAAAAAATAGGGAGTTTCTTACTGTCCGCAGCAGTGCCGCTCTCATGTCCTCAGAGAGGCAAGCGACTCCAGCACTGAGCACCCTCCAAAACCCTGTGCTTGTCTGCTGTGCTGCTGCAGCTCATTGGGGCAGCTCGGATTGGTTACTGATCACTGCCCTGCCTTCTCCTCCTCCTCCTCCCTCCTGCTTTCTTAGCAGTCTTTCTTCCTTTGCTTTTATTTCCCTTTATGCATCTTCTATAGCTACAAGACTATTTCCCTTGAAGCACAGCGTCTGTGGGGGGACATAACAGCAGCGTGCAGAAGAAGGCAGTGTGTCCACCCTGAAATGCTTCCTGGTCTCCTGGACCCAAGCCCTGACTCGCTGAGCCTCCATCCAGCACGTCACTTCACCACCAAGACATGTCGCTGTCCAGCATTTCAGGAGGAGGAGGGCAGGAGCGGCTTTCGTGGTACTGTGCTTGAAACAAATGACGGCAGAGCTCAGTGATGATTTGAGTGGGCTGAAAAGGGAGAAACGTGTAATACTGGCAGCTAAGCCTGAGGTGTGTAAGAGCGGATGCGAGATATGCGAGGTGGAGGCACATGTGTGACAAGATGCTGATATGTTGGGATAGCCTTCTTGCTCGTCATGGATTGCTTAATCCCCAGCTGCTGGCTCATCCATCAGATCCCCACACCCCAGAGGAGACAGGGGCTGTGGAATGTCCCTTTTACCCTTCTATCCTCACTGATGGACTTCTCTCAGCAGTCAGTGTGTTACTTGGAAATGTGTAGTTTCCTAGGTATTTACCAACATTTCATAACTCTCGTTGATATATAGACTGTAGGTAAATTAGAGAGGTTGCCAGATAGAGCTCTGAATAGAAAGAGATCATTTCACATGAAGTGTATCTCGATTTGAGCCTTCATTTATTATGATGTGCATGTTTTTTCAGCCCCGGTAGGAACAGATGGACTTGTATTTATACGGCTTTACAAGGAAACTCCCAAAATATAACAAATGGAATATAATATGGAAACACTGGGTGTGCGTCATTTACTGACATTAGATAACTTAAATATTTCTCTTCCTTCACCTCTAAAATAATAGTTTAGCATATTGTGCACTATTTGCTTTATACCTTGTAACATATGTCTATTGCAGCTACAAATTAAATACTTGTTTAACATGTACTCTGTGTGTGTGACTCTATGTGGGAGGAATATATATTAAATGGAAAACAAATATGATGGATACTGAATGGAATACAAGTGAATCAAATGTGGATATTACCTATAAATAAACTGTTCCTTTAATTCATGCAGGCTCTTCATTGTTTGCTGTGTCTGTATGCTTGTAATTGTAGCATTATGTAGTTGATATTAATTTCATCTGCATAGTCACAATAATATGAGTGTATGGATTGCACAGTTTCACACCTTTGGAGATAAGCTCTGTGCAGCAGGTTATGGCAGGTCAGTGCCAATCTCCAACACTTACATTTTGCATTCTTGTAGTCAGGCTCACAGCTATCCATGAAGTTTACAAAAATAATTATTTTAATCAACAAAATTAGCATTAGAGAGGCAATTCTTTCCGCACAGGGATGTGTGGGCAGCTAGGCGGGCAGTTGTAATGATGGTGAGAAGTTAGGGTCATTTGATCCTGAGGAAGGTCCCTGTGTGGACCGAAACGTCGATTCTTTCTACTTGTTTGATTAAATAAATACTATTGAATTCAAAAGTCCGTGAGTGCAGCCTGCATTTTCCTCTTATCTACAGTAACATCCCTAAAAGGACTGGCACCCGGCATGCCTATTGGCAAAGCATAAGGAACTGCAAGCATGAGTGCAAGGAACTTTGTATTATATATATATATATATATATATATATATTACACAATGCACTATTTTCTAGATGTTTTGACATAAAATAATTTACCATTTAAATTGCTTTATGTCTACGTTCCTCATGACATTTCTCACCCTAACTTCTCATCATCATTACAACTGCCCGCCTAGCTGCCCACACATACATGCTGTTTTCTGATGCAAATCTGTTTTACTGTTCTCTAAAAGGCCCCCACCCAACGAAAATGATGAGAGAGAGAGACCCACACACACACACGCATGCATGCATGTACACACACACACACTGCATAGTATTTGTTGTTTGCTGTTTTTTGCTCCAGCTACTTCAGGAAATTTTGAATCCACTTTCAGAGTGATTTGTTTAAATCAAATTGATCAGTTTTGAACTACTGCAGCATTGTCATCTCCACCAACAATTAGCTCTGGCTTGAGTTGCAAGGCAGGATAATGCTCAGTAAAGTAAGTACTGCACCTATCAATAATCACTAAATTGATGGAAACAATCCTGCATTAGCTAGTTCAGCCTTCCTCACATATGTTTTTACTGTTGATCCAAAAAAGGCAAAAAGCCTAGAATGAAGTGCTTCCAATTTTGCAACAAACTAGGAAAAAAATTCCTTCTTGACCCCAAAATAGCAGTTAGATGTCTCTTTGGATAAAGCAGCTATTACCCCACTAATTAGAAATTATATTGCTGTATGTGCATTACAATTCACTGTGAAATTGGATAAAGGTGTTCTGCAGCAGCTGTAGCCGAGAACAGCAAACAGCAAGTGCTAGCTAGTCCTATGGGCACTAGAGCAGACTATGCTCAGTCAAGTTATTATAATCAGCCCCTCCTGAGTTCACAGTGTAATATTATTAAGTAATTGGGTTCAAGATGTGGAGCAGCAGCTGTGGCCCTGAGCAACAAATTATAAAACTAGTCTTGCAATGGAAATACTGGATACTTATCGACCAGGTTTGTAAAGGAAAATTCTTGTCAATTCATATTTTTTTTTACCATGATTCAATCTGAAAGTGGATTACCAGTGGTCTGCAGCAACTTCGGCCTAGAACGTATACAAGTCCTGCAGCAGGGACAAGGCTGGGTAAGTCTCTGTCAGGTTTATAGAGGTAACCTCTCCTGGGTTCATGTAACCATGATTAAGTCTGAAATTACATTCAATAGGACATAAAGTAGTTGCTTCCTTGAACAGGAAATTTCAAATATAAATCATGCAGAGATAGAACTGATTAATACTCAGTCAAGTTTTCAAAGTTAACTATTCCTGAATTTACACTTAACCATAATGAGATTTGAAATATAATTCAAGGTGTTCTGCACCATCTGTGGACTTAAACAACAAGTCCTGCGGCATGAAGGCTAGGTAATTCTTTGCCAGGTTAGCCAAGGTAACCCTCCTACACTCACAATGGTTTTTATAACATTTACGGCTCTTACACTATACAGTAATCTTGCAACGTGCAGTGCAAGAAAACAACTATGGACCCAAATACACTAAAGTGTGGCCTTCTATTTTCTCTAAACATAGCATAACCATGTTATTCCTTGTAGAGAAAAACAGCCTGCTACGTAAAAAAAAAAAAAAAAGGAAACAAGCTCTTCCTACCATGCATAACCAATGATAAAGTTGGAATCAAGCAGCAAATGATACAGAATCATGATCTAACAAAGTGCTTGGTTGTCAAGGCCATGGACTCCAAGAGCCAGACAATCTTTAAACATCTTTAAAGTGCAGCTTCTAAACAAACATGATAATCACAAATTTGACACCAGAAAGAACACCACGGGTAACATATTGGCAGAAAAGGACCCAGCTGTGTGAGTCCTGCGGAGATCAAGACTGGGTAATTCTTCATCGGGTTGTAAAGGTAACCTCTCCTCAGTTCACATTTAAACGGTTAAATTGAAATTTGGTTCAAACATTTCTGCAGCAGCAGTGGCCTTACACAGCAAACTCCAAATGCTAGCCTAATATCAGTCCTGCTGGAACAAGGTTATCAAAGGTAACCGTCCTGAGTTCACATTTGTTACGTTTGTTCAGTTCCTAAACTATACATTCATCTTTTGCACTGGACAAAATGTTGATTCATTAATGTAAATAAAATTGTTTATTAAAAAAAAAAAAATTAATACATTTGTTTGTAATTGTCACATAATCTAAGCAAATATAAAATTATTTAACATTAATAACATAAGTATATGTCACAAAATAGCATTACATAGTGAACACAGTTAAAGTAGCCCTCTAACAACAAATAACCAAATAACCTAACAAATATGTATTTTAAATGTGAAAGATACTTCCTAAAGGGGCACTCCAAAGATGCAAACACAGCAACTTCTTCTGGTAATGGTAACTCTAGACAATAAAATTCTAAATCTTTTGGGCTTGTGACTAGATAAACCACATGCAAAACCCATTCCAAAAAGTAGCTTAACCCCTTAAGGACCAAACTTCTGGAATAAAAGGGAATCATGACATGTCACACATGCCATGTGTCTTTAAGGGGTTAAACCATATTCTGAAAATAATTTGAATAATATTTGTCAATGCTTAAGATTTGTATGTTATCCCTTATTTAAAAAAAATCACTTTGTCTTTGCAAATGTTTTACTTTGTCTTTGTTTTATTTATTTTATATATTCATCTACATATGTTAGCTATGACATAAAAGCTAGAAATCATGATGCCACTGTCAAGCTAAGGATGGTGGAGAATCTGTTGTTTGTGTACCATCATACCTAAAGTATTGACAAGCATTAGGTTGGAGGAGATCGTGGAAAATATCAGCAGGCATACTGACAGCTTTAAAGCCAGAGCGGGAGGCTGCGGTGGAGGAATCCCGGCTCTGGGAACATTGTAAGTAATCCTTATTTATTTTGCTAGCATGGTTATTCACTAAAGTGAAAATTCACAGTGAGTTTAAAGTGAATTTCAAATTTAAAGCCAGAGCAACTGAATTGAAAGGACTTTTCCAGTTTGGCTATTTTGAACTTACTTTCAAAAGTGAATTCCACTTTTAATTCACCTTGAATTCTCACTTTAGTGAACAACCCTTATTGTTATTTTGTTCACTAGCAAAGAGGTTGAACAAAGGGAGATGGATAGAAGGGAACATGTAGTCCTAAAAAATTACACATTTTGGAAAATAACTTAAAACCTAATACAAAAAAACTTGCACCCAATGAACTCTAGCTCTAGACAAGATATACCACCCTGCCAATTTCAAACACAGCTACACAGTTGCTTAAAGGGACACTGTAGGCACCCAGACCACTTCAGCTCGTTGAAGTGGTCTGGGTGCCAACTCCCATTACCCTTAACCCTGAGCATGTAATTATTGCAGTTTTCAACTGCAATAATTACCTGCTAGGATTAAGTCCTCCTCTAGTGGCTGTCTACCAGACAGCCACTAAAGGAACTTATGGGTTCTAAGATGACTTTTGGTCACCTAGATCAGTGGTTCCCAACCCAGTCCTCAAGTAGGTCCTGACAGTACAGGATTTAGGGATTACCGGTTGTGTCTAAGGTGTTTTTAGAAAAAAAAAAACAATAAAACACCTTAGACACAACAAGGTAATTCCTAAATCCTGGAGTGGTAGGGGGTACTTGAGGACTGGGTTGGCAACCACTGGCCTAGATGATGCTGGACATCCTCACGCTATGCATGAGAACTTCCAGTATCACCAGAATCCCCATAGGAAAGAATTGGATAATAAGCATTGGACCCAAGTAAGTGACACAAGGAGTTATTAATCCCTTTTGCACCACAGGGGAGAGGGGGCCTTGACAAAGGGTGAAGCTACAGTACCAGGAAAACAAGTTTGTTTTCCTGGGACTATAATTACCCTTGAACAGATGAAGCTGGCTAAACTACCTAATCTTAATTTAATTGAATTCTACAGTGAACTAAAATATCTCAAAAAAACTCTCATTTATGTTATATGTTATATGGCTATTGTAAAAGACTACAAAGTGCAAAAAAAAATCAACATTGTTTTTTTTTTTCATGCCAAATTTATGTCAGGATTTAGGTTTCTGGTTATGCTTTGCAAGTTGAACTGAGAGCTATTGAGTGTAGTTAGAGTTGAGGATTAGTATTAGTGATTAGTGATTCGGATTAGAGGTAGGCATTTGAAAAACAGGTGGGAGTTTGGAACAAGTAAAACAGTTTGAATTGGGCTAAAATGATGAAACCTTTGTGCTGACCCCATTTTGTTAATAGTATGTTTATAGTACTCAAAACTTGCACTAGCAATATGGATTCAAGCCACAAATACTTATAGGTAAAGTGTTAAGATCTAACATTAGTGGATGTGATTGTTAATTTTATTAATATTTAAAGACCTTCAACATTTTCTGCAATGCTGCCCAGTGAGTATACAGACAAATCAATCAAATACTAAGCTAAAATTTAAACAGTTTTCACAGACATGAATAGA